CAGAGAGGAAGATCTTCCGTCCAATGATTCACTCCCCAGGCGGCCGCAACAGCTGGAGCTGAGCCAATCCGAAGCCAGGAGCCTCTTCTGGGTCTCCCACGCGGGTGCAGGGTCCCAAGGCTTTGGGCTGTTCTCGACTGCTTTCCCAGGCCACAGTCAGGGAGCTGGATGGGAAGCGGGGCTGCCGGGATTAGAACCGGCGCCCATATGGGATCCCAGGCATGCAAGGTGAGGACCTTAATCACTGCACCATCACGCGGGGCCCTGTTTCTATTTATTTTAAAAAAATCTATTTTCATTGGAAAGGCAGACCAGATTTATAGAGAAAAGGAGAGACAAAGATCTTCTATTCACTGGTTCACTCCCCAGATGCCACAACAGCTGGGGCTGAGCCGATCCAAAGCCAGGAGCCAGGAGGCTCTTCTGGGTCTTCCACGTGAGTGCAGGGTCCCAAAGACTTAGGCCATTCTCTGCTGCTTTCCCAGGCCGCAAGCAGGGAGCTGGATGGGGAGTGGAGCTGATGGGATTAGAACCGGCGCCCACAGGGATGCTGCTGCATACAGGATTGAGTGCGCTAGGCCCCAAAGCAGTCTTTCTTACTTTTTCTTTCATCTTTAAAAAAATTCCCCCATTTAAAGAGTACAGTCCACTTCTTTATGGTATATTAGTCTCGAAACGCCATAGTGTTTTCAAAACAGGTTTATTTATGTATTTATTTGAAAGGCAGAGAGTTCATCCATCCACTGGTTCACTCCTCCCACATGGGCAACAGCTGGATCAGAGGCATGGAGTAGCTGGGACTTGGCCAGGAAATCTTATAGCATATGAGGAGGAGTCCCAGGCTGCTGCACCACAATGCCAACCCCCATGTTTGTTAGTGAAACCACCAGGGTTTTATGGGTACAAGCTTATCACTTCCCAAGGCCCCACCTTTAGAACTCACAGTTCAACTCTCCACCCTTCACTCACAATTAACTATTAACAGGAGACTTTGGGGCTCACACTCCTAACTCCTGGGTCTTTGGGGGACCCCTCCAAGCCAATATGGAAACCAGAACCCTTCTCTATTGTCTTGTTCAATCCTGTCAACTGATGGGGGAAATTGAGGCACGGTGAGTCACATCTGTTAAAAAATGGGCTTCATCCAGACCATGCTGGTCAGAAAGCATTTCAAAACCAAAGAGAAGCTGACCAGGACACAGGGTGTCCCCTCTCGGGCCCCTCTCCAGCCTTAGCCAACCACCACCTGCTAGTGACAACAACATCTGGGTGTTAACTCCCCCAGGGCAGAGCCTGCCTGCTCCCAAGGCCAGGCTGACTGTGACTTCAAAGTTGGTCGTGCGAACATGGGTGGGTCAGGAGACAGGAGCGCACTGGAAGAGTAGCCCCTCCTCCTTGGCCTGGGCCTTGGTGGTCCTGGTAGAGTCCCAGAGAGGAGGCAAACCTGGTGGCACTTACGTGCCAGGATGCCCAAGTGAGTGCCAGGATGCTGAGCTGAGCTCCTGGGCCCTCACTGTCCTCTCTCCTCTTCCTGATCTGCATCTGTCCCAGTGAGAGTTTCAGCCTCCCCAGGTGTCCCGAGCCACTGCGGTGCTAAGCCACAGTGTGGCTGTGAGCATTAGGGGTCCTGCAGCCTCCCTGTCTTCCTTGTCGCAGGACCTGAGCTGGTGATAAAGTAGGTGAACCGCAGTCTCAGCTTGCCCACTGGTACCTGTGAGAGCTGGGAGTTACAGAATGTTCTAGAAGGTCAGGCACTGCCTGGAAAATTTCAATGAAGTGTTTGTGGGAACCTGCCCACAGAGGTGTCTGGAGAATGGACCCAGATCTCCAAGTCGCCGGCATTCTGCTGTGCTTTCATTTCCAAATCTAAATAAGAGTTTGTTTTCACTTTAAAGACTTAGTTATTTGAAAGGTGGAGTGACAAATGTTGGTTTACCCTCCACATGGCCTCAATAGCCTCACAGAGCCAGGGCAAAACCAGGAGCCTGGAACTCCATCTGGTCTCCCATTGGGGGTGGCAGGAACCCAAGAACTTGAGCCATCTCTTGCTACCTCCCCAGGTTCAATAGCAAAGAGCTAGATCGAAAGTGGAGCAGCAGGCCCCACATGATGGCCTAGCAGCTAAGGTCCTCTCCTGAACGCACTGGGGTCCCATATGGGCGTCAGTTCTAATTCTGGGAGCCCAGCTTCCCATCCAGATCCCTGTTTGTGGCCTGGGAAAGCAGCTGAGGCCAGCCCAAGGCCTTGGGACGCTGCACTTGCGTGGGAGACCCAGAAGAGCTCCTGGCTTCGGATTGGCTCAGCACTGGCCGTTGCGCTCACTTGGGGAGTGAATCATCGGATTGAGGATCTTCCTTTCTGTCTTTCCTCCTCTCTGTACATCTGGCTTTCCAATAAAAATAAATAAATCTTTATAAAAGAAAGAAAGATAAAGAAGGAAGGAAGAGAGAGAGAAAGAGAGGGAGAGGGGAGGGGAGGGAAGGGGAGGGGAGGGAAGGAGAGGGGAGGAGAGGGGAGGAGAGGAGAGGAGAGGAGAGGAGAGGAGAGGAGAGAGGCAGCTGGGACCCAAATTGGCATTCATATGAGATGCTGGCATTGCTGTATGCCAGCCCCTGGGTTGACTTTTGCACACAACTTGTGTTCTTCCTAAAGCAGACCTTGAAGTTAACATGCCAGGGTTGGCACCACAGTGTGGTGGATAGAGATGCCCGTGGTGCCAGCATATCATATGGGCGCTAGCTCTAGCCCGGGGGGTTCCATTTCTGATCCAGCTCCCTGCTATTGCACCTGGGAAAGCAGTGGAAGATGGCCCAACTGCTTGGGCTCCTGCACCCACATGGAAGACATGGAAGAAGCTCCAGGCTCCTGGTTTAGGCCTGGCATGGTCCTAGCCATCACAGGCATCTGGGGAGTAAACCAGCACATGGAAGCTTGCTTTCTCTGTTTCTGTGTGTGTGTGTGTAACTTTGCCTTCAAAGAAATATATAAACCTTACAAAATAAATGAAAAAAAAATTCCATCCTCTCTGCCCTGGCACCGTCCCTCCTCCCTTCTCCCTTCCCTCTCCCCTGCCTCTCAGCCCCTCAGCCTCCCCTGACACTGCCCTGCCTCCTCTCTCTTTTCCACAGGGGCTGCATCCTGCTCCTCCAAGCCTCCTCCCTCACCCATCCAGTATTGACTTCCAGCAGACACTCAGGAATGGCTTGTTAAGTGAGTGAGTGAATGAATGAATGAATGGATGGATAGAGAGGGAACTCAGGGCACCCAGCAGTGGGGGCTATGGGGGAGGAGGAGCCCCCCTCAGACCAGTGCTCACCCCGCTCTAAACAGGACCTTGGGACTCTAGTATCGAGACTTGGTCCTGGTGGCCAGTGCCCAGGGTGCTCCTGCAGGGGAGGGCTGGTGCGACTCAGCCCCTCATGGCCTCTGGGTGGAAGGTCCAGTCTCCTCCCTCTGGCTACGGAGTGGTTCATTGCCTCATTTCACAAAAATAAGCTGATAAGGAAAGAATCCTGGTGCAGCCCACGTGGTCCCCAGTTTTGTTTGGAAAATGGTCCCCATGGCCATAAAAAGAAAAGGAAAACCAGGCCTGGTCCCCTCCTGGCTGTGTCCCCAGTGGGTGCCAGACTGTGTTGGGGACTGGGAGACTGGGGCGCCTCCAGCAGCAGTTGGGGGCTCTGCTTAGTTTGGTGAGGGGCTGGCCCCGTGCCCAGCCAGCTGCGCCATTTCCTCCGTGATCCTGAGCCTGCTTCCTGCCCTGGCAGGCTCCTAGGTTGGGGGAGGGGGCTTTTCCAGGCTTTTGCTCCCTTGCAGGCCACACCCTGGGTCAAGAGACCTGTCTGATGGTAGGGTAGGATGGGAGCAGTGTTCAGAGGCAGGCTCAAGGTATCTTGGGGTGATCGAGTTTGGGGAGCTGTGCAAGAGTCCCCAGCCTACCCTAGGACCCTTCTCTAGGCTGCCTCTGCTGCCCCAAGGAAGGTCATGGACAGCTCCTTGCCCTTTGGGGCCTTTCCTGGGCAGGGCCCTGTCTTGGCTCCTTCCAGCTTCAGATAACCAAATAGCCTGGGCTAGGGGAATGGCCAGGGGAGGCTGGGCTGCACTGGCTGGACCACAGGTCAGCGAGCCCATCATTTAGCCTGCCTGGGCTACACCTGCTCCTCTCTGTGAGCGTCCCCAGCTCCAGCTCTTCCAGGGGTCCCGGGCAGCAGGGAGCTGGCGAGACTCCTGAGGCCAAGGCCACCTGGACACTCCTTACTGCCCGGGTACACCCTCGAGCAGCCACTTAAAATCTGGGCACTTCGGATTTCATAGTATGCACCTCTCAGGTAGAGCAGAATGATTTAATAATGGCCAGGCATGGCAGCAGCTCTTTGGACGGCTCCCAGAGGGACAGTGGTAGCTTGCTTGGTACACATAGAAGAGCCAGGCCCTGTGCAGGCTGAGAAGGGAAGGAACCTCCTGGTCTCAGATAAGTTGGGGTTGGGACAGGGGGTCCTCAAGGGAAGCTGTTTGGTGCTGCCATCACTAGCCTCTCAGGTGAGATGGCACAGAACATGGGTACCAGGCACCCAAGACTGGCAAGTTGGCGTCAGACTGCACATGTCCACATCCCCTCCTGCCTGCAAGGAGCTCCATTCCCAGGGGACGTGGGCCAACCCCGAGGCATGTGTCCCCTGACTGTCCCAAGAGCCGTGTGACTCCAGCAAAGCCTATGTCCCTCTCTGTGCATGATTGGAGACTCAGGCCGAATGATCACCTTTATTACTTGCAAAATGAAGGTTGGCTGGGAAAAGGGGCACCTAGGGCTCCTGTAACTCCACCTGCTGCCTGTCCTGAGGGACTAACCCAGGGGTCTTTGAGGGCCTCTCTCCGAGGGTCTCCATCCCAAACCCTGTCTCCTGGGGCCCCCAGCGTCTTCCCTGCGGCTGTCTCTCAGCAGTGTCCCGAGGTCAAGGCCTTGCCAAGCAGCCAGTCTACAAGTCCTCCAGGATGTGTGTAGGTCAGGGGGATGCAGTCTCTCGGGGCTGGGCAGGTGCAGAGGGCGGAGCCTGGCTTGGAGTTGACTTTGGTGGCCTCTGGGATGGGAAATCCTAAAGGAAGGAGAAGACCAAAGGCTGCAGGACACAGCCTGTCCCCTGGTGGTCTCAGGCCTCCCCCGAGACCTCCCCCACAATCCCCCAGGGCCTCTGGAGTGTCAGCTGGGGTGGGGGTGCTGAGGATCGGGTGGGGGTGTGGCCTCCACCTTCATGACCTTGGCCGATCCAGCCTAGCCCTGGAAGAGTGGGGGAGCAGTTCTTTCTGCCCCCCACCCCGCAGAGAGGGCACCTGGGGACTCCCAGGGCTGCTGGGGTTGAGGGTTGCACGGTCAGAGCGAGGAGCCCACCTGGACTTGGCAGAGGTCGAGCAGCGTGCGGACGCCCACCAGGCACCAGAGTTCCGCCAGCAGCGAGATGAGCACGCCCAGGAGGTCCAGCCAGCGGCCCACGGTCAGCAGCAGCACGAAGAGGCTGCCCATGCGCACCAGCACTGTCTGCACTTGGCCCTGCAGACCCGGGTTGTGCCGCTGTTCCTCTGGGGACGTAAGTGCGCGTCATGGCTGTCCCTGCATCCCAGTGTCCCGTCCTCACGCCCACCTGCGGGACACCGGGCACTGCTGCTTCCCCCTCCCAGGGTCTAGAAAAAGACCTGAGCGTGGCAGTGATTCCTCCCCATCCCAGGACTCCTCAGCTGAGCATGCCCGCTCAGTCCCATTGCCTCTCCCTGCTTCCTGCCACTTCCACTCTGCTCCTGGCTTTGGCCTAAAGTCCCTGTGCGCTGCCCAGCTGAAGAGACCTTCTTAACACATCAGCTCTGTGTGGGACTTCCCGCTGCCTTTGCATTGCAGTCCACACTTCGAGCTTGGTCCCCAGAGCCTGCCCCCCACTCTCCGCCACAGCCTCGTCTGGTCTCTCACTCACTCCCCCTGGGTCCCTCTCCATAGCCACCCCAGCTTTCTTTCTGGTCCTAGGATACTCTAGACTCAGGATACCCCAGGGCCTTTGCACAGCCTTCCTCCCGGCCTAGGTTGCGCTTCCTGCTGCTGCCCCATCCCAACTCTACAGCTGGGGTTGAGGGTTGCACGGTCAGAGCAACCCCTAGGACCCATCTTCCTCTGCTTACTTGTCTGCAACCTGCTCAGCCTGATGAGGTCACGATCCTGGCCCTGGAGCTCTAGAGGTGGCCTCAGCATTTGCAGCCACGTGGCCCTCACTCTTGTGCACAGCCTCTACCTCCAGACCCACCCTCTGGGAGATTGCATCTGCCTGGGCCTGGGACATAATGATGGCTGAGAGGGCCCACCCCCAGCCAGCGAGCCCTCACCTTGCATGTAAATGACCAGAAGTGTGTAGCAGATGGTGAGTGGCATCCAGAAACGCATGGCCTCCGAGGTGGTCAAGAAGTCCTGGTTGATGAGAGCCACCGCCGCCATGTTGCCCACCGCGAAGGCCATGGTCAGGGCGCGGCCCAGCAGCCAGGGGAGGCCGTGGGCGCCTGCCAGCAGGCCCAGGCAGATGCCGCAGGAGCGCTGGCCACTGTGCAGCTCGTAGAGGCGGCAGACGTGGCGGCGGAGGCACCGAGCACCCGAGGCGAGCAGCGCAGCCAGCCCGAGGCCCAGCAGCAGGTTGAGCGTGCGGTGGGGGGAGCCCTCGTGCAGGAAGCTCAGGCCGCAGGTGAGCCCGCAGCCCAGCGAGTACTGGCACAGCAGGAACAGCAGCAGCCTGTCCTTGGCGTCTTGTGGGCCCTGTGCAGGGAGGGGGGCGCAGGAGGGTCTTCCAGGGCTGTCACGTGGAGGGGGAGGGGAGAAGCCCCAGGGGAGGGTGCCTAGTGACCAGCCTAAGCACTAGGGGTCCCACTGCGTGGCTCAAGGGCTGGGGGGTACCACACCTGGACGGCTGGGACTCAGGGCCCGACTGCAGCCCCTGCTGCCTGTGGATCTTGGAGCCTCAGTTTCCCCATCTGCACAAAAGGCTTCTGCATAAAATGGCTGACCTTCATCCTGGCCGGCTGTGGGGTTCCACACAGTGATGCTTTCCAAGTGGCTAGCGTGGGGCCTGGCATCTGGCCAGCTCTGTGCACCTGTACTTGGCACTGGGGTTGGATCCCCCGTATCTCCCAGCCCCAGCAGGTGTGGACACCGGGACCCCAGGGTGCAAATTGCAGCTTTCCTTCTCCATGGCACAGAGAGGGGCTCTAGGAGTGGGACCCAGTCTCCCCTGCTCTCAGTGGGGAAGCTGGGGCCCAGGGCCAGGGAATGACTCCCCAGCAACCCGCCTGACAGCCTCACCTTGCCCAGGGCTAGCAGCGTGGATACAGCACGGAGGGAGAACTCGAGTACCACCAGGGCAGCCACCCGGACCCCCACGACAGCCAGAAACAGGGCCAGCCCTGCCACGTGCACCGTTTCCAGCAAGGCCCACTGGGCCTGCAGCCGCTCCTTCTGGGGTCGCCACGCGGCATCACTGCGGGGCCAGGCAGGACGTGGGTAGAAGGCACGGGTGGTGTTGCCCAGAGGCCTGGCAAGGGGCACCGGTGGGACGCGGGTGTGGGCAACTCACTTGACACAGCCCACGAAGAAGTAGACCTTCAGGAGGCTGCTCAGGACGGAGACCCCACAGGCCCCGATGAGGCCTGGGCAGGCGGGTGGGGGGCAGCAGGTGCAGGGCGTTAGGCTGGAGACCCGCGTGGGGGTGGGTCCACCCAGCCCTGCCCACGGGGCGGAGCTCAGGCCGCATGGGGAGGAGGGGCTCTCACCTTGCAGGAAGCTGTCGAGGAGGCTGGAGCCCCACTCGAGGGAGGGGAGACCGGGGAGCCAGGAGGGGAGGGCGGGCAGGGAGAACATGGCAGCCCCGGGATCCTTCTAGCCAGGTCTGCGCAGGGCCGCGCTGACGTCATGGGGCAAAGGTGTCTGTGGAGAGGTGGGGAGGAGATAGGAAGGGGTCAAAGGCCCCGGGGAGGGGAGGGGAAGCGAGGGAAAGACAGGCCAAGGACTTAACCCTTCCAGGCTGTGGAAAAGCTCCAGGGACAAGCCCCCCCCCCCCCCCCCGTGTACTCCATTTGGGCACCCCAGTGGAGGGGTCTTAGGGGCTGAGCTTGGGTCTCTATCCCTTGCTGGTCTGGGGGCCGCCTGAGCCATGCCTTCCTGGAGCCGCACGTCTGGGTCCTACCCACTCTGTCTGCAGTGTGGGCCCCGCCCCGAGCCCCTGGTCGATCCCCCAAACTGCACACCTTCAGGCTCTGGCCCCATAGCCGAGCTCTGGCCCCGCCCCCTCTGAGCCCCGCCCCCGAATTCCGCGTGGCCCCGCCCCCTCTAAATCCCGCCCAACTGGGCTCCTCCCGGGACACCCCCCTGTGCTCCGCCCCTCCAGAGACCCGCCCCGGGCCCCGCCCCTCTGTGCTCCGCACTGGCCGGAGCGGCTAGTCTTGCTGTTCCCTCCTGTGTCCACTAGGTGACAGGCCTCACCTGAGTCAGAGGGGGCGAGACTCTCCCATCCGCTTGCTGGACTGCGGGAGAGCCGGGAGGGAGCCAGGAGTGGAGGGGTGAATGAGACCTCCACCGATGATTGATGGAAGTAAAGTATAAAACTTTATTGCTTCGGGATCCGGCGCGGTAGCCTAGCGGCTAAAGTCCTTGCCTTGCACGTGCCGGGATCCCATATGGGTGCTGGTTCTAATCCCAGCGGTCTTGCTTCCCATCCAGCTTCCTGCTTGTGGCTTGGGAGAGTAGTCGAAGACAAAGCCTTGGAACTCTGCACCCAGGTGGGAGACCCCCGAAGAAGCTCCTGGCTCCTGGCTTTGGATCAGCTCAGCTCCGGCCATTGCAGTCGCTTGGAAAGTGAATCACCAGACAGTTCTTCCTCCCTGTCTGTATATCTGACTCTCCAATCAAAATAAAATAAATCTTCAAAAAACATACATATATGAAACTTTATTATTTCGGAGTGTGCAGGAGGCAGTGGGTCTGGGAGCAGTTCTTCATGGACTTGGGTTGTGGTGGGGAGGGCTCTGCGGCTGCTGGGTTGGGACCAGACCTGTACCTTCCAGGGAACTGCTGCTGCCCACCCCAGGGCAGGAAGGTCAGAGCAGGCCTTCGAGGTCACCAAGGTCACCGAGGTCACCCGGAGCAAGAATGTGGCTGCTTCTGGGAATAGAGCCCGGGCCCTGGGCCTGCTACCCGCCCTGCCCTGGAGCTCACCAGTTTGGGGGCAGACACATCAGGAGGGGCGCAGTCCCTGAAGTCCAGGACAATTGCTGCCAGGGTATTCCAGCACCTGAGGTCTCCCCACACAGGCAGGAACCCCTAAAGCATGGTGCACCCCTCAGGCCTGGCCAAGCATGGTCCTTGCCTAGGGAGCAAGGTGAGGTCGGCCTGAGCTGAACGCAGCTCAGCCTCAGCTCAAGGCATGGAGTCTGGGAGCACCAGCCTGGCAGAGGCCTCTATGTCACTTTGTCTGAATGATGCTGGTGCCCAGGGCAGTGACTGCAACCCTGGGCATGGCAATCCAGGGCACAGCAGGCAATGATTAGGAGTGAACCCCCTGGGCCTGGGTGGGCCTGCTGCTGGGAGTGGGGCACAGGAGGGGGTGCTGGGCCTATGGCCAGCTCCAGGACAGCTAGTCCTGCCAGCCCAAGCAGTCACTTTGGAACACAATTTCGGGGGGCGAGGTGCCACCTAAGCCTGCTGGTGCTGAGCCTGCCGGGCAGCCTTGCGAAGCTCGTCCCAGAAGAGCATGCTGAGGATGGTGTGGGGGCCCAGGCGCAAGTAGGCAGGACCCAGTCCCTTGTAGAGTGCCAGGGGGCCCTCAAACCGCCAGATCTTCAGCAGGCAGTCAGTGAGGCCCCGATACAGCTGACCCTGGAGACAGATGGGAGTGGGGTCACTTGCATAGCTGCAGGAATGCCAGCATAGCCCTACCTCCCGTTGAGCTTCTTTCTCCAGGCAGCCACAGCCCCACGCCAGGCATGGCCGGTGGCAGACAGGATGGGGAACACCCTAGGGGTGGGGGTGCCTGGCACTGGATCCCTCTGAGCTGCAGTCTTATCTTTGGGAAAGGGAAGGAGGCAGTGAGGAGCAGATGCAATTCCCACGTGCAGAGGCAAAGCAGCTGAACTCATGGGTGGGTGTGCGTGGACCATGGGAAGCAGTCCAGTCGGCCCCCACGCCCACTCCTGCTCACCCTGCAAGCTCCGTCCACCGGCTGGTTGTATAGCCGCGTGCTGACCACGTCGAAGGGGGTCATGACGACCACCACAGCCACACTGCTGATCATGCCCCCCGCCAGGGCCACCAGCCAGCTGTCCTCCGGGAGCCACTGTGGGGATGGCAGAGCCCACTGACACACATGCTGCCCTCCTGGTCCCCAACACACAGAAGGCTGCAGAGGCTGGGGGGAACCCCAACTCCACTGCCACCCTGAACCCCACATAGCTTCAGGCTGCTGGCTGACCTTAGCCCAGCGACCCCATCTGTCACCACCCTGCATGGACGGAGGCCTTATTCCTGCCTGCCTCTTACCTGTTGCTCTTGTACCCAGGTCTTGGCAGAGGTAAAGGTGGCCAGCTGGGCGGCCGAGCCCACCATGACACGGGGCACGGCCCCACCCACGCCCCGCCACAGTCCCAGCAGGCCTTGCTGCCGCCAGATGGTCTCCACGGCGCCCAGGACGCTCTGTGTCGGAGAGGGGAAAGGACGCAGGGTCAGCCAGGGAGTTCTGCTAGCCAGCTAGCCAACCTGGCTCACGAGATTCAAGGAAGGAGGTGCCCACCTGGTGATGGTGCTGGTGCCCCACAGCCATGGCAGCCACCGTTTGGGCCTGCAACTGCGTTTTCACCTGCAAGGACAGAGCAGGTGACGGGCTGGGGTTGAAGACTGGGCAGGCAGAGCCTGTTGAGGGCTTCCCATGGGACCCCACACCTGGGACCAGGCTGGGAGTGGGGCTCTGAAGTGAACAGGGCCCCGAGTCGGCCACCTGTTGCATGGCCTCGAGGATGAGATGAGCTGGCAAAAAGCAGGACACCTGCCCAGGACCAATGCCCAGTGGGATCTCCCAGGGGATAGACCCCCGCCCCGGGGAAGAAGTGAGCAAGCTAGGATTGGTGCCAGCTCCTCTCTGCCACCCTCTAGTCCCCCTCTACCCTGCCTCAGGAGCAGCAGGGCAGAGACCCCAATGGAGTGAGAGTCAGGGCAAGGCCCCCCGCCCAGGCCTAAGCGGCAGATTCCAGGCCCCACCCTGCTTGCCCGGCCTGACCGAGATCTGGCTGGGGTTAGGGGCAATACACTCACCAGATAAGCAGGGCTCCCCACGAAGGCTCCTAGAGCCCCAGCCAGAGCCCCAGCAACCACGGTGCCACCTGGCTGCTGGGTGAGGCCAGCCTGGCAAGCCAGACTGTAGCAGTAGAAACGGACACCATTCATGAGGCCCTGGTAGAGGAGACCAGCGGCCAGCCCTTTCTGCAGGCCCCGCAGGCCATCTGCACGGGCCACTGCGGCCACAGCAGCCAGCAAGCCCCGGTAGGGTCTCGGGTAGGTGCCCCGGGCCTGCAGCTCCCCCTGCAGCTGTAGCCTCGTCTTCACCACTTCCAGGGGATTGGTGAAGACACAAGCCAGACAGCAGGCTGAAGCGCCCAACACCAGATCCACAGCTGGGGACACTGCCTCCATGGATCCGGTGCCAGGGGCTGGCTATGCCCAGGTCAAGGGCATGACACAGTCCCTGGGGCGGTGACGTTTAGGCTGTCTGCACCTGCTAAGGCTCACAGGACGGACGATCCAGGAGTCCTGGGGCCATGTCCAGAGGGCTGGGGTCCTAGTGTGACAGGCCCTCGGCAGCCTGCGGTGCCCTGGTCAGCCTTGAAAATCCACTTGCTCAGCTCAGCCGGGGCCAGTTGCTGGAGCCTCAGGCACGCCACACCCCTGCTGGCTCTGCCCAATCCGAGCTGGCTCGGGCGGGGGCGGGCCTGGACCCTGGGATCTGGGCAAAAGGTCACTGGGTGCTGGAGGGAGAGGGGGGGCAGGGGAAGGTACCTGCCCTTTCTGCTCTCTCTGGCTTAGAATGTGGCGCTCCAGCTCAGGGCCCTGGCCTTGGGCCAGTGCCTCAGGAGGCCCCTGGCACAGGGGACAAGGAAAACTCAGCAACCGCCCTCCCTCCACCTGCCTGTCCCACTGGCCCCTAGAGTCGATGGTCCCACTGGCAGGAGCCTCGGGGTCCAACTTAACTCCACCTCTGGGAGGTACCTTCTTGATGTTTATGGCCAATGCTTTGGGTGCAAAGTCCACGTGGGAGTCTCAAAGTTGTTTGACACCAAAATAAATGTATCTTCCAATTTCACTTTTCAACAGTTTTTGAAGGTCCCTCATGCATTGTTAAAGCTTTACTTATTTCTTTGAAAACCAAAGTTGCAGTGAGGATCTTCCAACTGCCGATACACTCTCAATGGGGCCAGGCACGATGGCTAAGAGGCTAAATCACTGCCTTGCACGCACCAGAATCGCTTGGGCACCAGTTTGTGTCCTGGTTGCTCCGCTTCCCATCCAGCTCCCTGCCTGTGGCCTGGGAAAGCAGTCAAGGACGGCCCAAAGCCTTGGGACCCTGCACCAGCGTAGGAGACCTATTCCTGGTTTGTTTGGCTCAACTCCAGCCACTGTAACAACATGAGACATGAACCAGTGGATGGAACATTTGTTTTCAAAGATTTATTTGTTTTTATTGGAAAGGCAGATATACAGAGACAGAGAGGAAGCTCTTCCATCTGATTGTTCACTCCCCAAGTGGCCACTACAGCCAGAGCAGAGCTGAGCCAATCTGAAGCCAGGAGCCTCTTCCAGGTCTCCCATGCGAATGCAGGGTTCCAAAGCTTTGGGCTATCCTCGACTGCTTTCCCAGGCCACAAGCAGGGAGCTGGATGGGAAACGGAGCTGTCAGGATTAGAACCGGTGACCATGGGGGATCCTGGCACATTCAAGGTATTTTTATTATTTTTTAAAGATTTATTTTATTTTTATCGTAAAGTCAGATATACAGAAAGGAAAAACAGGAAGATCTTCCATCTGATGATTCACTCCCCAAGTGACCACAAAGGCTGGTGCTGCACCGATCCGAAGCCAGGAGCCAGGAACTTCTCCAGATCTCCCATGCAGTTACAGGGACCCAAGGCTTTGGCCCATCCCCGACTGCTTTCCCAGGTCACAAGCAGGGAGCTGGATGGGAAGTGGGGCTGCCAGGATAGAACCAGCACGCATATTGGATCCCAGCGCTTTCAAGGCAAGGACTTTAGCCACTAAGCCACCGCACTGGGACCAAGGCGAGGACTTCAGCCACTATGCCATCACACTGGGCCCAAAAATAAATCTTAAAGAAAAGGAAAATGGTGGGCCCTGCGTGGATGGGAAGTGGAGCAACTGGGAATCAAACCAGTGCCAATATGGGATGTTGGTGCTGTAGGCAACAGCTTAACGTACTTTGCTACAGCACACCACCCTCCCGCCGCCTCCTGTGTTCTGCCATGTTGCTGTTTCCTTATGGAGAGCGGCACTTTGGTCTCTCCCTCTAAGGAGGCATCTTGCAGCTTTCTGCAGTACCTCAGCACACACAGGTCACCCCCCTCGCACGCTGTGGCCGCCCTGAGGGCTGGTGGCTACTGTGCGGCCCTAGGTGTGGTGTGTGATGTGGCAGGATGGAGGGCAGGGCGAGGCCTCACCACACGCCCCAGAATGGTGCCCAGGGAGGTGTTCATTCTCTGTCACATTGTGACTGACCACAGACAACAAAACCCGGGCAGGGCTGTGGCACTGACTTAGCCGGGTCTCTTGGATGCGGGGGGGTCTCATGCTTCCCCCTGGCCGCTCTCCTACTGTCCTTTGAGGGCCCTGGGTGGGTAGCAGCTGAAATGAGGGCCACTGTGCCTCAAGCAGTGGCCTCTGGCTTCAGCTGCCTGGCCAGGAAGGACTTACCTATCAGGCCCTCCCCACCTCCTGTACCCTGGGATGGAGGTGGGCTGTATGCTTGGCACTGCTGGCAAGACCGGTCTATCTGGGCTGGGCCACCACCTGCTCCCACCTTGCAAAGGCCTTTTCCAGGCCACCCTGAGTCCGGTAAACCCAGAAGCAGAGCTGCAGACCCCGAGACCCTGTGGCCTGGCTTGGTGGCTCCAACCACCCCTCCTCTGCCACTCCGGTCCTTGGTAGCACTGAGCAGCTGTAGCAGCCCTGCCATCATCCCAGCAGGTGCCAGCATCCTTGGGCTTGCCCCCGCCACCGGGCAGCCCAGCAGGAGGCCAGGGGACAGCTTGGACTCTTTTGGGTTGGTCCCAAGAGCAAGTGGCCCTCATGCCACCTTGGCTGTGGCTACTCAGGACTGAGTGGGTAGGCAAGGCGGTGATGCCGACTAGTTCTGGTGGCACACCCCGCTGGGAGCAGGGGCCAGTGGCTGCCCCTCCCCTGCCTGCTGCAGCAACCAAGAGGGAAGGCAAATGTTGGGCCTCAGTGTCTACGGGTCACAGCTCATCGGCCTCGTCCCAGGGGTCAGGGGTGGAGCAAATGACGGAGGAATGCCTGCAGAATGACACCCCAACACCCCCACCCCACAGATGGCCAGGCCCATGTTTTGGCAATATAACATGTCTATTTTATTTTAAAAAACAAAACCCACACCACCTGAGCCCTTCCCAGAGAGCTCCTGACGGAGTACCTGGGCAGCCTGGCTCCCGCCAAGCAGATGCTGGCAGGAGCTGTCACCATGGCCCCCCAGGCTGCCGGCTCTGTTCCTCGCCAGCCCCTTCTGCCCGTCTTCTGCTCTTCATCCCTGGGTCCTGTGGGCACTGCCGGGCTGGAGGAGGCAGGGGCAGGGCCGTGGGCATGCAGGGCAGCCTGGCAACCTGGGGGGCAGCCCTGCCACAGCCCCAGGCTTAGCAGGGTGGCAGCTATGCACGGGGCTGGGCCGGTGAGGGGGGCACATGCAGTCTCACGTGCTCTGGCCTCCCCGCAACGCTGAGAGTCTTCAGAGACACATGAGGTTGGCTGGGCCCCAGGTGGCTCTGAGCCTCTGCAGGGCTCCTGATCCAGGAGGGACAGGGTGCCTGCACCGCCAGGCCTCTCTCCCCTTCTTCCTGCTGTGAGGTGGCAGCCCAGGGAGACAGCATGGAAGCCGAGAGCCCACAGGGCTCATTCTTCTGCCCAGCAGCTTGCTGGACAGCATGCTCAGGGACACTGGGCACCCACTCCAGGTGCCCAGGACAGTCATCAGCCCTGTGTGAACTGTTGAACGGTCTGGAGGCCTGGCTCTGAGCGGCACACAAGCTGGTCATGGCAGTGCACCTGCTGGCCGACTACCTCCCCTTCCCACCCTGCCTCAGCACCAGGGGTCCCTGGAGGCTCGGCCGCGGCACAGGCTGTCGCTGCGCTGCCAGGTGCTATGGATCAGGCTCAAGGCGTCCTCAAGCTTCTGCCTGCTGGAGGCTTCAGGGATGGCCTTGTGGGGGAGGTCCACCTGGCGGGCGAGTGGGCAGCGTGTAAGGGCCACAGGAGCTCCTGGCTCAGCTGTGGCCGGGACCCATGAGGCTTCCCTGCCCCTACTCAGTGTAACCCAGGACAGCCCTGGCCAAGGCTGAAGCCTAGCATGTGCTCACAGCCCACCCATTCCAGTGGTTGGAGGCTCCAAGGGGGTGCCCAGCCCTGTGGTCCTGAACCCTCGCCAGCTGGGCTGGGCTCAGCCCCTCTGCATTGCATACAGGCATGGAGACCAGAGCTAGCGTCAGGAATTGTATCCCCTGGTTTCCCTGTCCTGGGCTGGTGTGTGTGTCCCTGAACCGCAGTCTCACTGTTGTGTCCGGGATTCGGGTGGCAGTCTTGAGTGGTGCGGGGCAGCTGGTACCTGGTAGATGGTTCTCCAAGTGGCGCTCAGTGCAGACAGGAAGCGGTCCAGTTCTGAAGGGCAGCTCAGGTAGATGACCCAGGGTGGGGGCAGCTGCGGGCCATCCTGGGAGAACTCCTAGGGGAGGTGGCCCCATGAGCAAGGGTGACTTTCTCCCTCTGGGGCTGCCACCCTCGCCCGCCCTGCTCACCAAGATGCAGTACTCCTTGCCCGGCTCCAGCGACACAGCACTGACGTCAGCCAGCTTGGCGGTGCCCAGGGAGCGGAAGAAGCTGGTCTGGCAATCCTCATGGCATGTGAAGAGGCGGTCGTCGGTGATGACCAGGCAGCAGGGGATGCAGGGGCTGGGGGCGACCCCCTGGGGGATAACCTGCAGCCAGGCGTGTGTGGTGAGTCCTCCAGGGCTGACCAGGACTGCACCAGCCCCTCTGGCCTCCCTCAGGGGCTTCATGTGGCCTCCACCTCTGGGCTCTGTCTCTGGGCACCCCCAGATTGCTCTGTGCCTGTGTGGGCTTCAGGATGAGACTTGGGTGGGAGGTGGCGGGAGACGCTCACCCCTTTGGACACGGCCTGGCAGAGGTGCTGCATCCAGTCGGCCATCTCGGCCTCGCTCTCGGCACTCAGCTCCAGGCAGGGCCGGTCGGCGAGAACGACCTGGAAGGCGTGGGGCCGATCCGTGGTGTTGGATCTCCGGCAGCCACCGCACTGCTCCCCCCTGGGCCAGAGGAGGAGGGGTGAAACGGGGCGAGGTGGCAGAGGAGGTCAGGGCCCCTGGACACAAGGCCTGAGCGTTGGAGGGTGCCGGAAGGCAGTGGCAGTGCCATGCGGGCTGTGTAACACTGTTTATCCCGGGAATTACCAAGGTCCCCCTGGGCCCCTGCACGTGGCTGGGTGGGGGTGAGGACGGCCTGAGTGCAGCGCCAGCCGCCAGCACATGCGCCTCTTGCTGCACACTGCCTCTTCTGGCCAAGGGACTCCGCAAGGGGGTGTGTGTCTGCCTCCCCCCAGGCTAGGGGTTCCCTATCATCTCTCCCTAGTAGCCCTTAGAGCTCAGCAAGCCCAGAGTCCCAGACAGGACTAGGAGGGGTCTGTTGAGGAACTCCAGGCTTTGACCTGCAAGCAGCAAGGCCTGGCCCTGACAGCTGCCCAGCACCCCCCATCTCCTGGACTCACCCCATGTTCACTGAGAGCAGGGGAATGACGTCAGTGCGGTCTGGGTACTGGTACAGGATCCCATTGCTGTAGGGGCACAAACCAGCAAGGGTCAAGCCCATTCTGAGGATGGGGGGCCAGGTGGAGGGCACAATCTGGGGTCTCCTCCACTGGCTGTGGCTGTGAAGACCAGGGGGCCTCTTTGCCTCAGGATGGAGCCACAAGGCACAGCTCAGGGGGTGTATCTTTGCCTGAGGCACCCAGGGAGGGCACAGCACCGGCATCTCCTCAACCCTGGTAGGAAGGGAGGGCTCCTTCTGCAGGCCCCCTCAGCAGGGACCTGCCACAACAGCCTAGCACCTGGGAGCTGTGTGCGGGGATCTACCTGAGAACCACGAAGCAGGTCTTCCAGTGTTCCTTGCCCAGGTAGGAGGTGCCAGCCTTGTAGTGCAGCATGCCTTCTTTGGTGATGGTGCCCTCCGGGGGTGAGCAGTGGCAGGGCATGGAAGCCAGGGACTCATCCATGGGGTCCTCCCAGTGCACAAGCCCGTAGAAGTGTACAGTGACGGTGGAAGCCTGAGGATGTGGGCAGGAGATGAGGTGGCTGTGGGCTGCACTGGGCTGTGGCTCACGCAGGACCCAGTGCCAGGCCTGAGGGTGTGGGCAGGAGATGAGGTGGCTGTGGGCTGCACTGGGCTGTGGCTCACGCAGGACCCAGTGCCAGGCCTGAGGGTGTGGGCAGGAGATGAGGTGGCTGCGGGCTGCACTGGGCTGTGGCTCACACAGGACCCAGTGCCAGGTACAGTTACTGAGAGGGTCAGGGCGCCTGACCTCAGCACCCAGCTGAGAGGGGAGGCAGCGTGTGGAGTGTGAGAGCCCCTGATCCAGGAGGGTGGGAGGGGGTCGTGGGCAGCACGTGACCCTAACCCCAAGGCTGGCCGTACAGTGACGCCTCAGGGACTGACCTCGCACTTGGACTCCTGGGCCACGAATTTGGCCAGTGCCAGCTTCTCCATAGTGGCATCAGTGAGGACGCTGGGGTAGGGCGGCTCACGGCAGCCTTTGATCATGGCTGACTTGAGAGACACCAAGAAGAACCTGAACAGGGAGGGGGTCTGCTGTGAGTGGGCACACGGTCTCCGTGGCCAGCAGGATTTTGTCCTGAGAGCTCCCGGCCTACAGGAGTCACAGACCCTTCGGGGGAGGAGTGGGCTGGATCCTGTGCTGAGGGGCGGCAGTGGCCCAGGGAGGACAGAAGTCCATGTTCACCAAGCAGTAACTGGACAAGGTCAAAGCGACACAGCAAGGGTAGACTGGACAAGGTGGGCAGGACCTGGGTGATGGGGCTTGGGCACCTCACTATACATAAGCATCTGTGAGCCAGGTCAGCGTGGCTCTGCGCCTTCCTCATTGCTGGAAATCTCCTGCAGCCCCCTCCCCTCTGCAGGTCACAAGGGTTGAGAGCCCCTGGGCTGACCGCATGAGTCAGCAGTCAGGACTCCCTGTTCTCCTGCCTCTGACCAGACTGTGAGGGCCAAGGAACATGTGTCTCCACTTCCCAGGCCATGGCCAGCCCTCCCAATCCTGACACGGGCAGAGGCGGGACGGTCACTCACTCAGCCAGGGCCACATCAGCTGTGTCGAGCAGAAACTGCTTCCTGCGGTTGGTGCACACCAGCTTCACCGTCTGCTGGTCAAGGCCAACCTGCCGGAAGCCATACCCTGACATGCACCTGGGGCTTGGCACCCACCTGGCAGAGGGCAGCATGGCAAGGGAGGGACGAGGCACACCCTGGGGGCACCATGGAACAGAACCACCGAGACCTGGGGATTGGCCTGAGCCACAGAGGGACAGGGAGAGATCTGGCATAGGAAGAGGTGGCCTCAGGTTTGGCTCTCAGCCCTGGCCTCGTCCACGGAGGCCTGAGAGTGTGTCAGCTTCAGGCTTGAACTCACCGACACATAGTCAAGTTCATTGTAAGAGACAGCCTCTTCTACCAGGTATGGCTTCTCTGTGGCCCCTGGGAGAAGAGACCCCAATACCTGTTAGCCCAATGGCCTCTTCTCCCTCCTGCCTCTCCACCCACCTAGAGGGGACCCCCTTGTCCTGTAAAATGGCAGGCTGGGAAGACATGGGACATTCACAGAGGGGAGAGTGCTGGGAGAAAGGGGTGGGTGCTTGCCCCCCGTGGGTGTAGCACCTTTGCGCAGCAGGTAGACGTAGCAATCTGTGAGCAGCACGTACAGCAGCTGCAGGTTGCCCTCCATGTGCCCAGTGCTCATCCGGATCATCTGAGGGGCCGAGGTGCATGGTCATGTGCGGGACCCCCGCAGTGCCCCCTCCGAGCGGGCCTCAGCCCGGCCTGCCCTGCCCCGCCCTGCCCCGCCCTGGCTGCGCCTCCTGGGACTCACTTTGAACAGCTGCTCCTCATTTTCTCGGAACACATGGATCATCAGCAGGAGTAAGTGGTTGTTGTCAACTCTGAGAGGGACGAACATGGGAAGGACAGGGGTCAGGGTGCAGAGGCTCCCCCTGCCCCAGGGGCTTCCCCCTCTCCACCTCCCAGGGCTGGCTTTCCTGGCACCTGCTTGCAGGCTGGGGAGCTGCGCACCAGACTCCCTCCCTGGGCTTGCTCACCTGAACTCTGAAGAGTGCGGCACCTCGGAAGGGCTCCCCTGCCCCTCCTCCACCCCCGAGTCCTCAGCACTGCTCAGACTCGGGCTGGGCTGGTCCCGCTTGAGCTGGGGAGCCTCCTGGGTCCTGGGCTCTGGCTCGGGCACAGGCATCTCGCTTCCTGGGGCTGACTGGCCGTGCAGATCCAGGGCCTCCCCAGCGGTGTCCCCTAAGGGCCAAGGCGTCGGCCCCTCTCTTCCTCCTCCTCCCTTTTCTTCTTGGCCAGCAGCCGCAGGGCCACCAGGAACATGCAGCGGTTCGCCAAGCCCTGCAGAGTCATGGTTGCCGCCACTTGGTGCAGCAGCACTTGGACTCTGGATGGTAAAGCGGTAGAAGTCCATGGGGGCTGGAAGCCCCTCACTAAAGTCGCAAAATGGCGGCTTCTCCGGGGCTTCCCCGGGAGAGCCGGTCCGAAAGGACTGGTCTGGGGGCTCGACGGCAGAACACCAGGTGCTGGGGTCCAGCTGCCCTTGGAGCTGGTCAATGACCTTGCTCAGTGGCTGACCCAGACGTTCCATGGACGTGTCTTTCATCTCGGGGATCAGCAAGCCCATGGGGCCAGGCTCTGAGCGCTCACTGCTCTCAGTGGTGCTGCTGGGCCCTTCTCCCTCGTCCTGGGGGGAAGCCAGGGTGGTGTCGGGGGAGTCCTGGCCGAGGCCTGGGCTGCTCATGAGGCTGTCGTCGTCCTCCTGCCTGGCACACTTGTGCTGACCAGCGGGAGGGTGAAGGGGACTGGCTCCCTCCTCCGGCCTGGGCTTCTTCTTCTTGCCAATCTTCTTCTTCTTGCTGACCCTGGAACAGCAGTGGTGGCTCGGATGTAATATCTGAGTTACTGAGAGACATCAGGCGGGGGTCAAACAGCTGATGCCGGGCGTGGGACCTCCATGGGCAAGGCCAGTGTCTATGTGGGCACGGGCTGGGGTAGGTAACAGGCCCATGGTGTCCCCAGTGCTAAAGATGTATAGTACAGAGTGGGGCCATGGGGCATGAAACACATACAGATGCCAGCAGCAGAGGAACTGACGGCTGACGAAGGAGCCAGCTGCGTCCATCTGGGACAAAGCCAGGCCGCACTCAACTGGCCTCTCCCTGAGGCCTCCTCTCAGGACAAGGAGTCGTCCTAGGTGCCTGAGCTGCCGGAGGCCTGCGGACAGCGGAGTCTGAGCAGACTCACTTCCCCTTAGGTGTCATCCCGGCTAAGTCACCCAGGAATTCACTCAGGGTTCAAACTCCAGGCCCTATTCTTTAGTTGAGTAGGCTGGAGCAGGTCTGGGGAGGCTGGGGCGGGGAAGGCGAGGGGAGCGAGCCTCTAGGTGTCACACCCCTTCTATTTCCTTGTTCTTTCAAAGAGCTAAGCTGAACGAGAATTGGTACAAATCTCAGAAACTGCTCACGGACTTTCCAGAATCCCTCAAGAGTAAGTCGGAAGGTGGCCCCTGGCCCTAAATGTACCAAACGTTCTGGCTGCTCTGCTGTGGTGCCAAAAGGCAGTTTGGCTGCTGCCTATGCTGGCTACCTGAGGCTCTCCCAGCAAATCTTCCCTTCTTTCTTTCTTTTTAAATATCTTTCTATTTATAATGAAACACAAATTTACAGAGAGAAGGAGAGATAAAGAGAGAGTTCTTCTATCTGCTGATTTACTCCCCAAGTCGCCACAATGGCCAGAGCTGAGCCAATCCAAAGCCAGGAGCTGGGGAGTTTCTTCTGGGTCTCCCATGTGGGTGCAGGGTCTCAAGGCTTTGGACCATCCTCTGTTGCTTTCCCAGGCCACAAACAGGGAGCCAGATGAGAAGGGGAGCAGCTGGAACTTGAACCAGTGCCCATATGGGATCTTGGCGCTTTAAAGGGGAAGGATTAGCCATTGTGCCAGGGCCTGCCCCCTAAATCTCATGCTGAAACCCTTCCCTCCCTGGGAGGTGATGAGGGAGCGAGGGTAGACCTGGCAGCAATGGGACCAGGGCTCCAGAGGGCTTCTGCCTTGCCCCACCACATGAGGACACAGGGAGGGCAGATCTCTGAGACCCAGAGGGCAGCCCTTGCCAGCAGCTGGCCGCACCAGCACTCTGAGCTTGGCTCAGGTCCCCATCCCACAACTGGGGAAACCTGCCTCTGCCCGAGGTCTGCAGCCTTTGGTGCAGTCCCAGCAGCCTGTGCTCACAAGCACGGAGCTTCAGGATTTTTTTTTTTAAATCTATTTTTAAAAATAGAGCCACAGAGACACACTAATACACATACAGAATCTTCCATCCATGAGTTTACCCCAAATTTCCAAAGCCAGGAAATCTACCTGGGTCTCCCTTGTGCTTGGGCTGTTTTCCACTGCCTTCCCAGGCAGGAAGCCAGATCAGAGATGGAATAACCAGGACCCAAACCAGCACACCATAGGTTTAACCTGCTCTGCCACGTCAGTCCCAGGGACAGGCCTTGTGATTCTTCGTGCTTGAAGACCTGTCCTGGGCCCTGTGGTGTGGCCTAGCAGCTAAAGTCCTCACCTTGAACACGCCAGGATCCCATATGGGCGCCAGTTCTAATCCCGGCAGCTCCACTTCCCATCCAGCTCCCTGCTTGTGGCCTGGGAAAGCAGTCGAGGATGGCCCAAAGCCTTGGGACCCTGCACCCGTGTGGGAAACCTGGAAGAAGTTCCTGGATCCTGGCTTCAGATTGGCATAGCATCGGCTGTTGCGGCTCACTTGAGGAGTGAATCATCAGAAGATCTTCCACCCTATCTCTCTTCCTCTCTATATATCTGACTTTTCAATAAATAAATAAATCTTAAAAAAAAAAAAGACCTGCCCAAGGGGATGGGCCTGTGACACAACGGGTTAAGCTGCCACCTGGGATACCTAGTTGGAGTCCTGGCCATCTGGCATGCCCAGCCAATGCTCCCGGGAGGTAGGAACAATGATGGAGACCAGCCTGCAGTTCTGTTTCCTGGCTTCAGGACATGTAGGGGACAAATCAGCAGACAGAAGGAAAATCTCTCTCTCTGTGCTTCTTCTCTTTGTCATCTGCCTTTCAAATAATGAAGTCACAATTCCCCAGAAGGGTCTCCCAGGGGGCGACTGACTGCCATGGACCACAGACAGTCAGGCTGCCTGCCCACAGTGCCGGGGCCTTGCTGCCTCACCTGATGACCTCGAGCTCGGCACAGGCTTCCGGCAGCTCAGGCACCTGAGACTCCTCCTTGTCCTCAGAGGTGGCATGCACGGGGGTTGTGTCAGAGGAGGACACGGTCTCAGCTTGCTCCTCGTTGAAGGGGTTGTGGCGCTGAGTGGGACTCCTGGTGGACGCCTTGCTGCTGGTCAGGTCTGAGGCTGTGGAGCGCGGCCCGCTGACGGTGTCTGTGAGGTCTCCATCTGGTAGGAAAGGAAAATGGCCCATCAGGCACCTGCCTCATGCCAGGAGGGGCCTTCTTCCCAGGGGATCCCAGTGGGGTGGCCCGGCCTGACAGGAGGTGACATTTGCACGTTAGAAGCTGTGCAGGAGGGCACACCACTACTTGGCCAAGTTAGTGTTAAGCACTCCAAGGTGAGGCAGCTCCCAGGCTCAAGGCCCTTAAGGATGGTGATCTTGATGCCTCCAGGCTGGGGCCCACAAAGAGACAACAGGTGCACCCCTCTCAGGTAACCCCAGAACACTCCTCTTTAGGATGTGTGGGGAGGTGAGCAGCCCCTGCAACCCACACCCCACTAGCAGGGCTGACATGCCCCAAGTCCTCTGAAGGGCCCTGCAGAGGCAGACAGCAAAGAACACAGAGCAAGACCTCAGAGATGACGGTTATAGCAGGAGGCAGGGCTCCCAGGGAGAAAATGGAGAGCCAGGAGTTGAGGGTCAGGAAGGGAGGGCAGCTGGGAGTACAGAACACAGGGGAGAGAATGCGGTGAGGGCACAGGGCCAGCAAGAACACGGTGGACAGAGGAGGGGTGGGGCAGGCCACCCCGGGGAGGAGGCTGTCTCTTTTCCCTGAGCCGCTCACCCTGCGCCAGTGCCTTTAGGGGTGACGCTGAGAACACGGGTCCCTTCAAGCCCCAGCTTGCTGACTGTCCTGACTGCCCCTTCATGGTGACACCCCCTCCCACAGCTCCACTTGGGGAGAAGGCGGAGGGATGTGGCAGCTCCTCCAGCAGAGCTGGTCTAACCGCTGCCCTCCTCGCACTGGCACAGGAGGCAAACCAAGCAAGGATGTGTACAGATGGAGCCACTGAGGCAGAATTGAGGCCCGGCTTGGGGAGCTGCCTATGTGGGGCTTACTGCCAAAGACAGCTCCAACTGCCCAGGTCGTGCTGGCCATGATCAGTTCTGAAGAGATGTGCCCATCCTGCTCTCAGCTTTGCTGTAGGCTCTGGAAACCCTGGGGCAGCAGTCTGCTGGTGCAGCACACCCCCACATGAGGCAAATGAAGGGGCTAAAAGAAACCACCAGCTCTGCCAGGAAACACGAGCAGCACAGAAGACTGCAGGTCTCCTGGGACACCAGAGACCTCGTTCTCAAATGCAGAAACCCCGCCTCTCGGCCAGGGTCGGCAGAGAGGGCTCCGTGCAGGCCCCATGTGGTGCTGTTCAGTCCTGCACTGGCAGCTGTTCAGGGAGGCACGTGGCAGCCTCCGATGGTACCCACCAGCTCTGTAAAGAAGCCAATGTCCTCCCAAGAGGACCAAGAGTCTGGTGCGACCTCCAGGGCCAGGGAGAGTACCCAGGCTCCCCTAAGAGCTGCCGCTCTGCGCTCAGGAATTCAGTGGTACACAAGGAAGTCAGGAGGGCAGGAGGCCATTGCTGGGATTACTCTCACCCTGGCCTGGCCTGAGCCCGGGGAGCCCGGGGAGCTCGGACGGGCTGGAGAGGAAGGCCAGGCACTGCTGTCACGTGACCGAGCCAGGCTTATCAAGAGGGGTTAGTTGTTAGACTCAGCGGGGAAACCAGCACCCAGCACACGTGCTGCAAGGAGAGAGGCTGACAGGACAGATGATGTCACGATGGAATTCTGGTTTTCGGGCCAATGCTCCTCAAAGGTGGGACCCTTCCATGTTGGTTCTTGGCCAATGACACCATTCATTTCTTTTGATGTCACGTCTATTTTCCTCCCAGTTATACTGTTTCATAGTCATGTAACTTGGGAAAAGCTCCTAGGTCAGGCATCACTGGGGTGGGGAGCAAGCCGCTGTGCGCCCCCTCCTCAGGGTGAGGAGGCTTTCACCACCCCCATTCCAGGCCGCACATGGCCCCCAGACAGGAGCTCTTTAATAATAACTGGAACCTGAAATGGCCTCCGACTTCAAAGAGGAACATTCACTCATCTGAAACTTTCACTTTGCAAAACGTTGGTAACCTGGGTGATGAGCTTCATGAGTTAACACCAGCCCAGAGAGGAACTCCAGACACAAAGGCAGCCAAGCACTGCTGCCCGGAAGACAGGGTGAGGGCCTGACAGGTGTCATTGCAATTGGCCTCAAGACTTTGAGGTGCCATCTCCCTGCAGGAGGTCTCTGGGCCTGGGTGGCACCCTTCCACACACCTCTTTCACCCGTGCTTGAGAGGGTGGAGACAGCAGGAAGGGTCAGAGAGAACCGAGCCCCTCAGTTTTTGGATGCTCATTGGACTCAAAGGAGCTGGCGACCTGCACAATTAAAGACATGGCTTCCAGAACAAGTCCCTGCTCGCTGGGCTGCTCCAGCAGCACTTCCCCACATACCTTGGCTAGGCCAATAGGTACAGGGTGATCCAGTGTCCCCCAAAATTCAGCCACTTAGCAACTGCCCCTGGCCACTGTCCCAAGGCAGGAGTGCTGCCCTGGGAGAGAAGATTCACCTAGAACTAAAGGCCAAGTTCTCCTCTTGCAGAATTCCATCTATTAGAACATCAAACTTTGCTTTATTATAATCATTGTAATATTAAGATTTTATAAATAATAAGGAGATGATTTTGAAACATGCAGCAAGCTGGGCATTGAAACATTGCAAAACAGGAAAAAGAGGGTCCCAGTGGACTCTGTCCCACCTTCCCAGTCTGTGCTGGGTACAGACGGCACTGCTGGAAACACATCTCCAAAATCATAATCTACAAAAATGAGGGACAAAACTGGAGATTAGAAACAGGCGGTAGAAGGATGGGGTGAGTGGGGACAACAGGGTGGGAGCCAAGGGGAGAGGAGAAACCAAGACAGAAGAACCTTCAACTTTGTACCTGTTCTCAAAGGGCCTCCGGGGAATTTACTAAGAGCCTGGCAGCTTCTCAGCTTGGGCCCTGACCCAGGAGCCGCATGGCTGTCCCAGTCGTGGGGACAATCCCTTCCCAACAACCCAGAACTGTGTTCTAATGGAGACGGGCCCCTTGAATCTGACCTCTGCACGAGGACAAGCTCCTGTGTTGTAGCTCCAGCAGCTCAATCCCTAAACTACAGGAGCTGGGTGGACTCAAGGAGATACTCCGTCTCTGCTGGCCTGAGTGCTCCCTCAGAGCTCACTCTGACTTCTGCTCTAACGCAGCCAGTGAACCCAAGCCAGGAGACTGAGTGCCCAGTTCCTTTTGCAAGTCTTGCTAACAGCAAGTTTCAAAGTAACCTCCATCAGGGGCTTCTGGTCCATGGCACAAGCAAGAACTCAGTGCCAAGGCAATCCAAGGGAATCAGGGCCTGAACCTGTGTGTGGGCCCCTTCTCCTGGAGGTGAGGTGGGTGAAGGCCAGGAAGATGCCAGGTTCCCCCAGGTGATGAAGGAGGAACGGCCAGTTTTTGCAAATGAACAGCAAGGCCAAAGTTTGAACACAAAAAATAAAAACCGAACAGGTTATCCATACAACTTGTTGGATGGAGATAACAAAATACAGATTCTTCTTCAATCTCCAATGCAACAGGTACAACCATCCTAACACACCAGCAGAGAGGGCAGAAGCTCCTGGCTCCGGCCTGGCCCAATCCCATGGGATGCAGGAGTTGGAGGACATAGAAGTTGGTGAGTCGGCCTTTACTTGGCCCGGTCTGGTTCTCTCCCCTCTTCCCAGGGGTTGCTGAGCCTCTCTGCCTAGAACCTGGGGTGGGACAAAGCTTGCCAAAGCAGACAACACTCACCCTTGCACCAGCAGGCCATGGTTTCCAGGTTGCACTGCTAATCCCTCCTTGCTCAGAAAACCACCCTGGCATGTGACCAGAACCTTCTGCAAGAGGGCCTAACACTCATAAAATTCTGCTGGGGCTCTTTGTGCCAGGAATTTGTCTTTTAGCTACTGAAAGGACTCCACGGAAATACAAATGTGGAAAATGGCCAACCCTGTTCAAGGGAATTTCACCCACCAGAACAAAGCTGGCCAAGAAGTGCCCTGGCCCGGCTGAAGCGACTCCAGCTCTCATTCCGGGCAGAGGTTCAGCTCCCATCTGCCCTGGGGCCACTTACCCTCACTGGACGGGGCGATGGCACTGTCGTCCCACTCCAGGTTGGTGGAGGTGACAGAGTTGAAGGAATTGAGGGACAGACTATCTGAGCCATGGACCGAGCTGGGAAGGCGGTCTTCAAAGTCCAACAGGTACTGAGGCTTGTAGTAGTCAGGCATGTAGGGGGCCAGGTCTAAGTAAGGGGCATCCTGGAGAGAGAAGGTGGAGAGACACTTGGTGGAGGCCTCAGGTGTGCCAGAAAGCAGGCCCTCCACAGATGGCAGCAGGAGTCTCGCCAGGCCTGGAGACATAGATCTGCCTCTGCCAAAGCCCTCCCCATGCTCCTTTTCCTTGGGAGATCAGTGAGAGCATCCACAGGTAAATCCAGAGATAAACTGCTAGAGTCATGTGAGGGGCTCCTGGTGTAACAGAGTCAGTCAAGCTGCCACCCACAATGGTGACATCTCATCTAAGCTCTGGTCCGAGTCCCAGCCACCCACTTTCGATCCAGCTTCCTGCTAATGTGCCTGAGAAAGCAGTGGAAGATGGCCAAAGTGAACCAGCAGATGAAGGATCTGTCTCCTCTCTGTGCAATTCCTTCAAATAAACACATAAATCCTCAAAACAAAACAAAAAAATAGCCCAAAGAGTAATGTGAGAGGTCTTGCTATCGGAGCCGTGGACTCCAGCTGGATCCTCCAACACTGCCTCGTTCCTTCACTGTGAGAATCACACATCCTGCCTCATTTTCACCCCTAGCACAGCCCTTCTCATCAGCTGCTAGAGCCAGGGCTGAGGGAGGGAGGACACATTCAGGACACAGCGGCTACAGCCCCGCAAGTGGCCCAGGCCTGACAGGCGCTTTGTAACCAACAGGAAATCCATTCACTGCTCCACTGTCTTTCCCCGCCTCTTTTTTTTTTAAAAGATTTATTTCATTTTTTATTTGAAAGTCAGATATATAGAGAGGAGGAGAAATAGAGGGAAACATCTTCCATCCATTGATTCCCTCCAAAGTGGCCACAACGGCTGGAGCTGAGCTGAGCTGAGCCGATCCGAAGCCAGGAGCCCGGAGCCTCCTCCAGGTCTCTGACATGGCTGCAGTTCTACACCCACTTTCCCAGGCCAAAAGCAGGGAGCTGGATGGGAAGCAGGGCTGCCAGGATTAGAACCAGTGCCCATATGGGATCCCAGTGTGCACTCAAGGTGAGGACTTCAGCCGCTAGGCCATCAGGCTGGGCCCAACTGATTCACTTTCTGCAGTTGTAATTATCCACAGTCAACCACAGTCTAAAAATATTCAATGGAAAATTCTAGTTGTCAACAATTCATAAGTCTTAAATAACTTCTGTTAGTGTATTGTTACAATGGTTCTTTTTTGTTGTTGCTAATCTTTTACTGTGCCTAATTTAAAAATTACACTTAATCATAGCTATGCATGTATAGAAGAAACACAGCGTCTACAAGGTTTAATACTATCTGCCATTCCAGGTATCCACTTAAAACCCCTCCCTGCAGCAACATGGGACCACTGTGCAGTGTCTGCTAGCGAGGCAACCAGCAGCACGTCAGATGGGACATGTGCACTGTGCCATCTGAACCCCAGGAAGCCCAGGGAAGAATCAGCTGTGTCTGTTGTGTTTTTGTTTTTTTTGTTTTTGTTTTGTTTTTTTTGTTTTTTTTTTTTTTTTTTTTTTTAAGGCAGAGCTACAGAGAAAGGAAGAGACAGAAAGATCCTCCATTTGCTGGTTTACTCCCCAAGTGGCCATAATGGAGCTGAGCTGATCCGAAGCCAGAAGCCAGGAGCCTCCTCTGGGTCTCCTATATGAGCAGAGGGTCCCAAGGCTTTGGGCCACCCTCCACTGCTTTCTGCTGACCATGAACACTTTCCTCATCTGAGCAAACTTCTGAGAAGCTTTCTAAAAGGGACCTGACAAGTCAAGCCACCACCCCTCCTTTGTCTTCCACCAGCAGTATGGGTCGAGGTGTCTCACCAGGTCCAGGTTGAATCGAATGAACTCCAGCCCAGACACCAGGGTCAGGAAGAGAGCGAGGTGATCGTGGCTGCAGACCAGGGCGTTCCTAAAGGACACAGAGGTGACAATGGTGCTTGCCTGCCTGCTTGCCAGCACATCTCACTACCAAGCCAACTGTGTTGAAATTAAATGTTTGACCTTCTCACGCCTGCAGCCTGTTCAATAGCCCTTTCCTTCCAGCATCACTACCAGTTTGGGGCCACCTGGCACTTTCCCGCCCACATCTTTGGAGATGGGCCCTTAGCACGGCTCATTAGCCTCTTGGACACAGCCAGGGTGTAATATTCTGTCCTAGCAGCCACCCCTGAAGAGGGCCCAGTCAAGGGGGACACTCGGGTCAGGTCTGAGGCCTGGGTAGAGGGTCAGGCAGCTGCAGAATATCACACTGGACACAGGAGCCTAGACCAGATACCAGTGCCCCTGGCCAATGTGCCAGCAAATCTCTGAGAATCTGGGGCAACCAACATGTCCTCAATGTGAATGCCAGGCTATGCCGTGGTGGCTTCTCATGGGACGAGTTTGTGGGAGGAGGCCCGAGGGGTGCTCTGGGGCTAGTGAGACCAACCACCCAACACGCACTTGAAGTAGTACTTGTGCAGCAGGCCCAGGTTCTCCTGGAACAGCCGCAGGTAGCTCTCCAAGGAGTTCTCGTTCAGGGCCAGGTATAGCCAGGCCCGGCCTGCAAACAAAGGCAGCAGTAACCAGAAGGAAAGTCTGTCAGGCAAAGGCAGAAAGAAAGAAGGAGCAGTGAGGGGACCAACAGCCCTCTCGTTTGTTGGGGTACCAATACTTCTAAACACGCACTGGCCTGGCCGGAAACTCTGAGAAGTACAGACTCTGCCCACTCCTTCTGCCTCCTGGGTTCAGAGTGGGACCGGACAGGAGCCCAGCATCCTCCACCCCACCACGACAAGCTACATATGCAGGAGAGGCCTTGTGGAGGGCACGGACACCTTAACGCCCCAGTGTTTCTGGGCACCCCAGTTCTAACCCCCTGGTCCTGGTCCTGACCTGAGCCCCAAGCTCCCCACAGGGAGGGTGGCAGCTGGCCCTGCCCCAGGTCTCCCTGGCGCTACTCACTGCGCCCCAGGTTGGTGGCCACATGCTGCAGCACTTCGATCTGCTTGATGGCCTCTCGCCGAGTGAAATGCACCACAAGCACCCAGTAGCCAGAGGAGAGGTCTTGCAGGCTGAGAAAACAGGAAAGGAACTGCTGTGACCTGAATGGGGCCGCTTTGGAAGGCTGCAGCTAGCCGGTCCAGCAGCTACACGCCCATTGTGAGCTTAGTGTGCGGTGGATTCTCTCGAGTCCCACAAGCAACCAATGCACCCTCGTCTTGCCACTTGACCTGTGGCTAATCTGTCCCGCAAAGCTTATGCTGTCTTGAAATGCTTCCCTGGGATGATGACAGTCTGCAACCCAGGGAAGAGGGTGGGACAAACCTGTCTGTGAAGGGGACGATAAAGGGCAGAAAAGAGGCTCAGGGATTCCTCACAGCCCTGGCTGGCAGGCTCCAACAACTGCCCCATCTCACCCGTACAGCAGGGCATGATCCAGGTGCTCACACAGACGCTGCAGGACCTTGTCATGATTCCGGATCGCAGGTGTCTCATCCTCACACGCGGCAAAGTAGCTCTGCAACTAAAGAGAAAATGTCCCCTGAATCAGAAGAGTCATAGAAGTCGTGGAATTGGGAAAGCAACAAGGACACGCAGTCAGGTGACTCAGCTGCTAGGATCACACTGCCCTGCCCAGGAGTGTAAGCTGTCCTAGGGGTCCAGGAGAGCAAAGCCTGCATCCTTCCGGCTCAGCCCCCAGGGGTCCTCAATCACTACTTGGCATGGTGACAATCTGCTGAGTTGAGGGCTTCACTGTCCATGCGTGGCTCTTAGGCAGGGCCAGACTGGGACAAGGCCATGCATGGCACAACTCCAGGGGTACCACACGGAACACTGTCTATACACACACCACCCACAGCTCAGAGTTGCACAACCCAGTGGTCCTGCATGGAGCTGCCTTCTGCACACCATGAGGGCGGACAGCCTGGGAAACCTGCTCTGACGGCCTTCTGGCCAAAGACTGACATGGGGCATGGGATTATTATTATTTATTTAAATATTTATTACAAAGGTAAGAGGGTTACAGACCCAGGTGGGCCTTAGTTTCTGATTAGAATGAAGTCAGAAGGCGGGTAAGATTTTCCCTCCTGTGTCCAGGAGGATGGAGATGGACAGGCATGGGGGCTGAGACAGTGCACCACTGCTTGGCGTCACATCAGGCATAGGGGAGTGAGAGGTGGGGGCGGGGGGAGGGAGCAGTTGAGGCCTGGACAAGGAGAAGACCGTTCCAAGGGTGTTATGTGTGTGTTCTTTATTGTTCTGAGACTTTGCTGCCTTGTTCCGACAGAGGGGACCATGATGTGAGATGAGTCTAGGTGTCAGGCTCATGTCACGTCCTCCCCTGGACAGCAGGGCAGAAGAAGTGCAGCCCAGAGTGGACCCTGCAAGCAGACAGGGCGAGGGTGCTGGGGCTGAGGTCTCTGCAGCCACAGCTGCAGCAGGAGCACCCTTGCCAAGCAAAGTCCCAGGGGGGAAAGCCTGGCCAGGACTGAGCAAGCATGTGCTGGTACGCTGCGGCACTCCCAGGCACCTGGATGCAAAAGAGCCCCAGCAAGAGAACAGATTCCCCAAATGTGTGTCCAGGTTAAAACTCTAGAGACAAACTTGTTCTCAACTGCTTTCTGGAAACAGTGGTGGAGAACAGTAGTGGAAGGCAAAGACCAGAAGGCATGTGCTGTTGGAGGGGGGCCAACCATTCAACCCCCACCACATCAAGGGTCGCTCTGTCTGGGGCCAAAGCCAGCCCAGCAGCTCTGCTGGCAGGGACAGCCTGGTCTCTCCCTGCCTTCCCAGGGCAGGCAAATCAGGGCTGTGGCAGGAAAGGTTTCCAGAGCTGAAAGGAGGCATGACTGGCCTACGGAAAGCACACAGCTGCCTCTCGGCTGAGGCTACAGCATCCTCGGGCACTTGTACATGCCCAGCGCTGCAACTTGGGGGTCGATTCCCCTTCCCCCTTCCCTCCAACACCTCTGAAGAAAGTTGTACATGTTTGTGCTGGAATGATTCTTAGGGATTTAGTTCAATTTCCTCATTAAAATGAACTAAAGATATTTATTCCCTTCTTGATTATAGAAGTAATCACCCCCTGGACGCACTTGTCCCTCGCACGTACTAGTAGGAGTTGCAGCCCAGTCAGGGCGGCCCACAGTAGCCTCAACCAGGCCCACCCCCTACCCTGGCTTGCCAGTATATATGGCATACTAGCCCAGTCTGTCCCAAGTACCCTCCTGTTCATATTCTTGCCAACAGGTGTTGCCACCTACTTCCATCCAACTATCTCCTCCTACCGTCCCTAATGGATATTGTTGGGTGTCTGTCTAGCCACCCCAGCCCCTGTCCTAGTTCCCATGCCCTCCCGTGGAAGGTGATGACCCACGAGGGAGGAACCCACTATTTCCCTCCCAGGTCACTCCCATTCCAGTTGTGCCTTCTCCATTTGGCCCTGTGGTTCAACTCAACGTGTCTAACCCTTTGTACCAGCTTCCGCCAGCTGGTGCTACAACTAAACCCCAACAACCCTCACCAACTCTGATTGTAGCTTGCACCAGTGGGAATAGTCAGCCCAGCCTGGTTTTCACCCAATCTGGTCCCCATGCAAGAGGACACGGGTGGAGACAGAACCGGCCCAGCAACTGCAGCCGCCAGCTGATCGGGGCGGTGGACTGTGCCGGGCCCTATGCTACTAAAACAGCAGGAATCTGGACTGGGAATACCTCAAAATTTCTTCGAGGATCTTCCGATTCGAGACACCGGACTCGGAGTCCTAACCAGGGAAAGACAGGACAAATCAAGCAACAACCTCAGCCATCTGTTGGCAGCAGAGACTGGGCAAATGGAGACCCTAGAAGGGACTGTGTCAATCAATGAACTCTTCAATGACCACATCATGATTGGGGTGGCGAGACTGGCAACGACCCATGAATGGTGAACTATTGGAACCACTTGATCGAGTATCTCGGAGCGCGCCCCACACCCGGGACTTGGGGTGGGCGGGAGACTGGGTGGGGCTTCTTCCTCTATATCCCCCTTTAGACCTTGAACCTTTTTTACCCCAATTAAATTTGTAAGGATTGTCAAAATTAAATAAAAAAAAAAGAATATAAAATTGTAAAAATATAAAACTAGGCCCAAAATGAATAATTAGAATATAGTAAAATGGTAGAGATAATAAATTCTATGAACATTCATCTAAAAAAAAAAAGAAGTAATCACCCCCACCAGAACACTTGGGAACTGTGGAAAAGATTTTATTTCTGCATTTATTTTTAAACAGAGAAGGTGGCCAAGCGCTTGAGAGGAGGCTCAGCTCTCGATGTTATTTTTAGCTAAATGATCCACCTGTGGCTGGAACTCAGCTGCTCAGGCCAAGAACCTTTAAATAAAACAAAGAAAACATCAGCCCATCGTAAAGACGCAAGCCACCCAGAGGTGACCACACAGCCTAAGTACCTCCTGCGCCCTGCACACAGTGTGGCACATACAAAACCTAAACAAAACGATCATGCTATATTCAGGGTCACCATTTCATTACTCATAGATCTGCTGTATTTGTTTTCTTCATCTATAATTCGTTTGGGACCATTGTTGTAGCATAGCTAATTAAGCCTCCACCTACACTGGGGGCACTCCATATGTGTTCCAGTTCAAGCACTGGGTGGTCCACTTCCAATCTAGCCCCTGCTTATGCTCTTGAGAAGGCAGTGGAGGCTCATGTCCTGGGGTCCCTGTCACCCATATGAGAACTGGGTCAAGTTCCTGACTCTGGCTTCAGCCTGACCTAGCTTTGACTGTTGTGGCCAATCAGTGAGTAATCAGTAGATGCAAGATTTCTCTCATTCTTTTTTTTTAAGACTTATTTATTTATTTATTTATTTATTTTTATTGTTGTTAACATTGTATTATGTGATACAGTTTTATAGGCACTGGGGATTCCCCCCACCCCTCCCATACCCCTCCCCCCATGGTGGATTCCTCCACCTTGTTGCATAATCACAGTTCAAGTTCAGTTGAGATTCGTTCCTTGCAACCACATATCTAGCATAAAGTCCAGCGTCTTATTGTCCAGATAAGTTCAGTGGCCTCTTAGGGAGACCAAGACTTATTTATTTTTAATGGAAAATGCAGATATACAGAGATAAGAGATACAGAGAGAACCTGGTGCAGTAGCCTTACTGCTAAACTCTTCACCTCACACACGCCAGGATCCCATATGGGTGCTGGTTCTAATCCCGGCGGCCCCACTTCCCATCCAACTGCCTGCTTGTGGCCTGGGAGAGCAGTCAAGGACAGTCCAAAGCCTTGGGACCCTGCACCCACATAGCAGACCTGGAAGAGGCTCTGGCTTCCTGGCTTCGGATTGGCGCGACTCCGGCTGTTGTGGCCACTTGGAGAGTGAATCAATGGACAGAAGATCTTCTCTGTCTCTCCTCCTCTCTGTATATATGACTTCCCAATAAAAAAAAAAGAAAGAAAGAAAGAAAAAAGAGATACAGAAAGGAAGATCTTCCATCTGCAGGTTCACTCCCCATTGGCCACAACAGCTGAAGCTAAGTTGATCTGAAACCAGGAGCCAGGAGCTTCCTCTACGTCTGCCACACGGGTACAGAGTCCCAACGCCTTGGGCTGTCCTCCACTGCTCTCCCAAGCCACAAGCAGGGAGCTGGATGGGAAGTGGAGCAGCTGGGACATGAACTGGTATCTATATGGGATCCTGGGCACAGACAAGGGGAAGATTTAACCACCAAGCAATTGTGCATGGCCCTCTTTCCCTTTCTTATTTCAAGGGCAGAGTGAGAGAGACAGAGAGAGAGAGAGATCTTCCACCAATGGCTTCACTCCTCAAATGCCTGCACTAGCCAGAGCTGGTCAAGCTGAAGCCAGCATCAAGGAGTATTACCTGGGAACACAGGTGCTTAGGCCATCACCTGCTGCCTGCCAGGTACATTAGCAGAAAGCCAGAGCAGAAGTGCCCAGTGGGGCTGGCACAGTGGCTCAACAGGTTAATCCTCAGCCTAGTACTAGCATCCCATATGGGCAGGGGTTTGTGTCCTGGCTGTTCCACTTCCCATCCAGCATCCCACTGATAGCCTAGGAAAACAGCGGAGGACGGCCCAAAGCCTTGGGATCCTGTACTCACATATGATACCCAAAAGAAGCCCCTGGCTCCTGGCTTCAGAGTGGCACAGCTCCAGTCATCACAGCCAATTGGGGACTAAACTAGCAGCTGGAAGATCTCTCTCTTCCGCTCTCTGTAAATCTACCTTTCAAATGAAAACAAAAAAAGAAGTGCAGAGTGACCAGGACTTAACAAAAACTCCAACACGGGTGCATTAGCAGGAAGGTGCATCAGAATTACAATAGCCCCTGATTAACTATGTAAGCATCTCTAAAATAAAAACTAAAAAAAAGAAATTGTGTTTTTCACTAAAATATGCTTAGATATAAAAAAGCAGCACAATAGGGCCCTGTGGCGCGGCCTAGTGGCTAAAGTCCTCACCTTGAACATGCCAGGATCCCATATGG